GAGGAGTTATGCGTTTGATTTGGGCGCTGCGCTCCGTTGACGATGGCGAAGAAGAAGGAGTCGTAGACTTTTTTTCTTTTACTTGTGCGAATTAAAAAGCAAAGGAGGAAAGGGCCGGTTATTGTTGTTGATGATGGATTGGGCTTCAACCCAATTTTGATCTCTTCTTTTTAAACTTGAACTGCACTTTGGCCTTTTGCTGCAATTTTCTCCAAAAAAATAAGATATCTGATAACTTGGGTTAGGAAAAATAAAATAAAAATAATAAAATGTAAAAAGTGATTAAAAAACTACTATTTTTGAAAGAAAATAAAAAGATTATAAAAATGAGAATTAAAATGAAAACTAAGCTAAACTACTAAAAATTAAACTCTAAAAATATTAAAAAATGCCCAAAATTGGATAAAAAGTACTAACCCAAACCCGAGTTATCAGGTCATCTTAAGCTTAATCTTTCTAATTTTTTGTATTGCCACAATTGTAGCATTTCCATCATCTCTGATGGAGCCAAAATTTCACCATTTTTTGGCTTTGGGGTGTGATGGAATAAATCAAAATGGATCTCTAAACTGTCTGCGCTTCTTTAATTAATGAAGTAGCAGTTAGTCAAGCAATGCAACTTTCGACGTTGAGCCGGGGTCTCTTTGGAAACAGCCTCTCTACTTTCGAGTAGGGGTAAGGTCTGCGTACACACACCCTCCCCAGACCCTACTCTTGTGGGATTTAACTGGGTTGTTGTTGTTGTTCTTTGCAAACTTAGAAATTCTACCTTTAGGACCCAGTTTTTCCTAGTCCTTACCACTATGTGAGTAGCCTAACGAATGCTCAACGATGTTTGCATTCGCACCTCCAGTTCTCCAAGCAAGCCCTTCCTCTTGGATCCTTAAGTGTGTGAGGAGTTGTTTTAGATTTAGCTCAGTCATCTTGAACTTTAGGTCTGCAGGGAAGTCTTCCCATGACTGAGGGAAGCTTGTGTATAATGACCGCCACTTGAAAGACCTCAGTGACGCCCACTTTTTCTTCATTGCACTTATTGAAGATAACTGTGGGCGACAATGGATTTACTGTCAACCATTTTGAAGTCAAAGACTTTTTTGATGATGAACTTCTTTGTGTTGGCATCTTCATCTTGATGTTTCTTATTCAAGCTCTCCTAGAGCTTCTTTACGAGTCTGGTGTGGTAATAGACAGGGTTTAAATGGGGGAAGATGAAAGGTCCCAAAACTGATGTGGGATGCATGAGTTTTCTCCTCTAAAGTGTCCGACTTTGTGAATTAATTTCTCATTCTCCTCCAAAATACTTGTTTCACTTAGGAGATTATTTTTCCATAATTATTTTGAAAAAATAGTTTTATGAACCCCACGGAATTTACGTAAGAAATGGTCCCATTATAAGCCAAAAAAATTCCACCAATTTCTACTAGAGTACTCCCTTTGGATGTTAATATAGGATAGAAAGTATTATTTGTTTCAGAAATGAATTGAATTGAGGTACTACATAACTTAAAAATATTTAAATGTATTGATTCTTTACCAATGCAATCTAATTTATGAACTAACTAGTATTTTAACCCGTACCATGCACGGGGTAGAACGAAATTTCATCGTTTCTAAAAAAATATCAACTTTTTAAGGCTTTGTTTTTAGAGAAATTTAAACTAAGTAGTACTAAAACATATGTCATTTCTAATGTAGTACTTACAATTCTTTATTTCTTAAATAGTACTTGGATAATGTCTGGTGGCAGGAACCATGCCTAGTGATAGTGGACGTTTAGTTTGAACAATGTCAAGTGGCGGCGGATGTTTAGTTGAACAATGACCAGTGGACAATGATCAGTGGTACTACATTTGGAAAATAAAACTATTCGTACTACATTAGGAAAGTCAATATATATGTTTTAGTTTTATTTACGTAAATTCCTTTGTTCTTACACATTTTAACTCTTAGGATTTGTTTGTTAAATTAAAAATACTTTTAAAAAATTCTAATTCTACTTTTCTTTTTTAGGTTTCATAAGTGGTTGAAATTATTTTTTTAATAAAAATTTTCTCAAAGAAGAGAAAATGAAGATTTGGTATCGGAAGCTTTGAT